GTACAGTGTACAGTTTGGGAAAAGCACAACACAAAAAACAGGGCGCTATGGGAAAAATCTAATGTAAAATTCGATTATCTCTTTTGCTTTTGCAATACTTTGAAGAATATGTGCACCATTTGATGTTGAGTTCAGTGCCATTGAAAAATGATACTTGCCCCCCAAAATTCAATTTGGGGTTATAATTTAAAAACCGTGTAATATAGGAAATGCTAAACAAGTAATGCAATACAAAATTCGAGTATAAACAACTGATATATCTTGTGTTTTTTACGGATACGGATGCCGAGTGTGAAGTAACTTGCCACAAATTTCGATTAAATTAAGAGTGTGGAAAATTTCAAACAATTTTTATTGAATACGCTTAATTAGGTACTCCTTAGCCATTACTGTTAGGTTCAGTGTAGGGAATTGCGGGTTTAATATTTTGCCGTCGGATCCTATATACAGGGTGTCCATTTTTCGAGTGCCACTATGAGGATCTCGCTTAAAAAACCGAAAGTTGGTTAAATGAGCGCAAAGTTGCGAATTATCGTGCTGTATAATAATCTGAAAAGAATCTTAAAGCGTCTTCAATAGGTTTGAAAATATCGCAAAAAAACGAAATTTTTTATTGGCTTCATCGAGGTTTTCATGATAAACCAATCGTTCTAATCAAAGCATTATTCAGACACTTAATAATTTTCATGTGCAGGGTGGTTCAATTTCGTAGCTCACTATTGAAATCTCCGGAACGTAAGGGATACAGTGTAGGATAAACGGGGGCAAAGTTGTCCCTTCTTGTGACTAAAAACACGCTTTTGAAATTATTGAATAATCTTAGAAAATAACTGAGATATCACAGAAAAACTGAAAACGTCAAATTTTGTATTCATTTTCCTTAGGCACAACATTTGATTTTTAAATTTTTCTTGTAAATTTATGTAAAAGTATACAGTGTGATACGTCATTATTTTCGTGGACCAATTATTGTATCGCCCAATAAGTCCACCTACACGTTAAAGCTAAAACGCATTTGCGGTCACCATTTTTGGAATTGATGAGGATTTTCAATTGACCAGTAATGTTCATTGTTGCGATTAAAGATTGCTGCATTGGTAAATTTACACTCATCAGACCATATGATGTTACTAAGGAAATTGCAGTATTCCTGAATATGATTTTTTACAAACGTACAAAAAGCTACTCGTCGTTCATGATCTCACTTGATGATGTGACAGCAAATTCCGAGGCAAATTCATGCTCATTTTTATTGGGCCTATCGCCATACTGTCGTCTACATATTTTAAATGCAACAAATAAAAATACCTCAAGCTAGATTGTTCCCGCTCTGGATAACGCTGCAGCAAACATATAAACATTTCGATCCGAAGTGTAGTAAATTTCTATCACATTTCTTTGTTCTGCACTTGAAAAAGGTATTTTCGCAATAAGACTACCTATAGCATAAACGTAAATGACTCTACTTCTAATGCCAAATTGTTAAACCTTTGTTTACAGCAAAAGAACGTTTGGTTTTGCCAAAGCCCTCTTCGCAAAAAACAAAAAAGTGTCTGATTAATAGTTTGTTTAGAAACTCGGTTGGAAATGTCCTCGGAAATGTCTATAGCGCGTTCACACCTCCCAGATGCAGTATGGGGTCTTATGAACTAATTGCCTCTCTTACCAGTTTGCGTCATTCTTCGATAATACTATCCTTGTTTCTAACCGCATTGATGTCAAATTGACATATGATTAAATTGAAGTATTTAAAACAAAACATAATCTCCTTGTGCTGTCATTGTCAAGTTTGGCAAGCATGTACTGTATGTCCATAAGCACCATACTGCATTTGAAAAAATTAAAAACGAAAATCAATAATTTTTCGCCATAGGTATTGAACTTTTACGCAATGAGAGAACAAAAAAAGAAAAATTCTGACGTTTCACACTATACCTTTTACATAAATTTTCAAGAAAAATTTCAAAGTCAAATGTTTTATATTCATTTCTCTACAAAGCATCCACGGGTAACTAGATGTTGCTGAATCAGCATGGCTATGATGGCGATGCTGCCAATGAATTTCTTTTTTGTCCTCTATTTCTTTCCGTCAAAATCCAATGTGGCGTCCATAAGAAATGAAAAAGTAGCAGCCTCTAGCTTCTACATCTAGCGTGTTATGGAAATTCTGATGACAGATTCAGATTCTCCGAAAAAAGTGCCCATATAGGGTGTTAACGGGAACCGTCCATTTCCGACCGTTTAGCCTAGGAGAAATGAAAACAAAATTTGACGTTTTCAGTTTATCGGTAATACTCAGATATTTTCAAAGATTTTGTCAAAATTTCAAAAGTGTTTTACGGGCGTTTTTTAGTCACAAAAAGGGACAACTTTGCAGGGTTCGCCTGAATGGACCCAATCCGAAAAAACCCACTAAGTTTTTTCGGGTTGGACCCACTTGAAAAAACCCACTGGATTTTTCATTAGTGGGTTTTTTCATTTTGAAATAATTAACAAGTGACTGGGCTGGTATGAAATAAATTTATATGGCAAAAGTATATTTCAAATTAAGCACGAATCAATTTTAATTTTTAAAATACAAAAATAAAACATAGATACTTCCATTTGAGTTCGTTTAGTATTAGTTAACAATTCAAAACAGTTCAAAACTTGTATTCTTATTCTTACTCATAGTAAAAAAGTGAACCACCACAACACAACCACAATATTGAGGTGCCTTTTTTTCATATTGTCGAATTGTTTAATTCGGATCGAAAAGGTAGGTACTATTGCCCACTTTTACCCGAAAAAGTCCGAAAAAACCCACTTGGGCCCAGTGGGTTGGGGTTTTTAAAAAAATCCGGGTTTTTTCAAACTCTGCAACTTTGACATTTACTACACTGTATCCTTTACCGTTATGGAAATTCCAATTGATTTGATGACCGAAAAACCAAAGGTAGTCAAAGACTGTTCAACCTGCAGAACAAAAACTAAGATATCCATGGCTTCCTTTACTTTGTCAAAAACTAAGATAGTTGTGTGACAACGGCAAGAATAATAACGGGGGACATACACAGAGAAGTCTACAATAGTCCGTACTTTTGAGAGATTCTGTAAATGTAATCTTATAAAGTACAGAACTTGCTATTTGAATTGTCCTGCTGCGAACTGTTCGGGCGCGAATTGTCCGCAAACGATCTAACTTTTATACAAGGAACCAATTCCTTCACAATTGCACTCTGATTTCATTACTATTCCATTCAATTTGATACAATTGCACCTTCATTCCACCAGCTTGTTTTCCCCTCGGAATTATTTGATGAAGTGAAATGGTGGTGTTTGTTTACTGGGAGTGGTTTCACCCTCGATATTATCAATACATTTATTAATAATTTGTTAAATCCTCAGATTAAAATTTAAAATCTTAATTTTTGTGGTTATCTGCAATATCTTTATACACTTACAATGGGGAACTTTTCACATATACATATACTAATAGTTTCGTAACAGTGCAGTGCTTGATACACTACCAGAAGCTTTTTACCCATTTTCGATTACTCGCTTCAGTACCTACCTAGAACAACAAGCAAAGCCATTTCTAATAAAACTAAGACCCTAAGAATGTTTCTTACAACCCTCTACACTTATACTGAGCGAGATACTATACTGAGACTTATACTATGGATAATTCCGTTTTGATTCTCGAGTAGAACCGAGAGTAGAACGGAAAATTAGGAAAAATGTAGTGGCTCCTTCTTGACACCCATTCTTTTCATATTGAACACACACCAGACAGCTTAATGTAAGGGGTTTCATGTGCAATTTTGGTCATTAATCCCGAATTAACTTTACGTAAGTTAGAGGCACTAACAACACGCGAATGAGTGAAAGCAACTCTCGCAGTGTTTAAAAACGAAGTAAGCAGGAATCGATTAAAACTTACTGAGAAGGAAACCTTTATAAACACAATTACAAGAATGTAAACATAAGAGCTGTCAAGAAGATAAAATTTCGGAAATAAGAGCTGGGAGGTAAAATTTAATTGGCCCGAAATATCTAATATGGAAAAAATAAATTGATTATTAAATATTTATTCAGACTAGTGGCAGGGATACTGTAAAACAGAGCTAATAAAACAGGTCCATGAATAATGGCTCAAAGGATAGTCCGGCGTGTTTCGCTTCCTAAGATAGAAGCTATTCAAACTGACAACTTGTTTGCTCGCCCACTTGTTTTATTTTCCTCGGATAATTGCATTCGTTGTGTTGAAACTGTTTCAATTAAATGAAATTAGATTTAAATTAAGAAGCGTTAATTGATTTTTTAATATTTACACAGTTGTTTACTTCTGGAATTGCTCGATTAATCTTGTCAAAACTAATTTTTATTTATTACGCTAAAAAGCATCGGGAACGAAAGAAATCGAATCTCGCGGAATCGCATTGATTAAGAATAGGTACCTAATTTTACGGATGGCTTCCTTTGCTGTGAAGTAATTTGTTAAAATTCAATTGTTCGCTTCGGGTACCGCGTGTATTATGGACATTTATATTTTTACGTAATTTTAAATGAACAAAACCACTCGTGCTAAAATTTTAATCTATTTCTTATGAAGGCGGGGTGGAATCGAGAACGGTTTGCAAAAGTTACAGATTCGTTTTACGCTTGCAATTACGGATGGGCTTACGAGCGAAAGATTGGGGAAGAAATTTGGGCAGAAGTCGGAACGGAAGCAGCAACGTGCTGCGCAAGAATGACAGTCACACCAGCACGTGCTTTACGTCATTGAGAGAAACTAACCACACATGCTTGTAAAAAATTACAATATTTTGAATGCGATAAACACTTAATTGAGGAAAAATGCGTAGTAAATATAATTTTAACGAGTGATAAGAGCAAGAACATTGTATCATTTGACGTAGGTACTTCTTCTAACGAGCTGCATTTTCAATTTTATTATCAATGTTATCAATCCCCAAATGGTCAACGTGCCAAATAAATGTAATAAAGAAATGACTTACAGCTTTAATTCTGACGAAGAGCGTCGTACGTTGCACGAGGGAAGATCGTTCTAGATTTTCACAAATAATCGAATTTTACCAAAAACGTAAATCAAACACAATCTCATTTCATAAAGTAAACAAAAATCACTTAAACTTATCAGTAAATAACCTAACTCAACATTGACAAATGCATCAGACGTTTATGCGAGAGACCCGTACTTTTCTAACGTCAAGCAAACGTGCGATTAGCGCGACGTTCCGACTCGGAATGTGAAAGCTCTAGCGCTTCGCCAGAGCACGAAAACTGAACAGAGCACAGCTTTTCGAAAGCAGAAACGCGCATAGGTAAAAGCTCTGCCTTGGGTGGGGGTGAAATAACAGAAAACAGTCGCACCGCCTGTCAGATACGTCATGTCAAATATTTCGACGTGTTTGAAATAGGGTTTGATGTCTAAAAGGTTTATTGAAAGTGTCTATTCCATTATGTACCTCTTGTAAAGGAATTGTTTGCTTGTGTAGTATCATCGACGATTCGGGCCTTCTCTTATTTCTTATGCTATTTATTTGTCAATTTACGTTTTCAATATACTTTTCAATTTAAAAGAAATTAACGTACGCATCTACGCACACTCTTTCTTAAATAAGGTTTGTGATACCCTTCCCTTCCCCCAAATTTATTGAAAAACGTACCGACCCAATACAATACTATATACATCTAAAAATCGTAAAAATCCAAAACTTTTTTGTTCTAATAGTCGACAATTCGAAGGTTTGGATCATCCAGGCCCTTTTTCGGTTTCATATGTAGGTACGCCATTTCTTCGTACTTAATTGGACCTGTCGCCTGCTGTGCTCAGCTAGCAAATTACAGGGACAATGTGGCTGCAAATCACACAAATGATAAGAACTTGTAACGGTTTATTTTTTTCATTACTGTAATGTATTGGGTTTTACCCAAATGGATATCGGTCTTCGCCGTACAGTTGAGTACGGAAATAAAGCTGTGTAAAGTAACGTGTTTTTAGCGCATTTTTGAAAAAAATACGCTATTATATTCGTCATTGCTGGCAGGCCGGCTGTCCGCGTTAGATCTCCACAACTACAATAGCTAGAGACTTCAAATTTTCACTAAAAGCTGTCTGCTATAGTGTAGATGTGCAGGCACTAGTCTATTTTGAGTTAGATTACTTATGAGATCGATAATTGAAGAAAATAATTTCGATATGGGTTTCGGAGGTGCTATAATTTTACCGTTAGATAGCGCTACCAGTAGAAAAACTTATTATTTACTTTGTGATTTGTTTTACAAAATGAAGACGTACCGTCAATTGAAATTAAATAAAATTAATTATTTAACGCAGCCAAAATTACTCGTGAGATCGATAATTTTAAACTTCGCTAATAAAATACTCACCTGCATTACCAAAAATGCGCTTTAATCATGCATATGCTGATTTACAACTTGTTTTCCTTCTCCGGCCCCGTGTAACAAATACAACATTTGCGACGAGGATTTTTAAAGGATATTGGTAACATTTACAAATATTGTCCATCGTTTAAGCAATGACTGTCAGTGCCGCAAGTGTTGGACATTTACCAGAATTTAGTTTCAAAAACAGTGATGGGACAATCTATCAAGTAATCAAGCACGATTGAATCCAATTATTTGCGGTCTCTGCATTAAAACTGCCCCTTTTCCTCTCCATGAGCACAACTCCAGCAGCAGATATCCCTCCAATGAAATATATATTAGGACCTATTGTCTGCTGTACCTCCCTTGTACCCTTGCGAGATCGTCTCTTTGATCTTCTACAAAGTACGGATTTATGGCTCAGTGGTAAGAGATTGGGTTATAAATCCGGAGGTCGGGTGTTCGAACCTGGGTTGAGGCGAATTTTTCATCTGTGGCGGAGATGGAAATTACCTTAGACCAGTTCCGAGCATTCTACCGGCTACTCCGAATTAGGTTTTCCTGCAGTTGTCCTAATTCGTAAGGTAAATACCGGAGTAGTATAGACCATCTTAAGACCTTCTGCAGAGGCACCTCTAAATAGCATTATGCGGGTCACTCTGTAATTGGGCGCGTGCCTGTTGAGGGCCCAAAACAAGAGAGGGATAAAAAAATAAAAAATAGGTTGAAATTCGTTTTATCGATCCACACTATATGTCTTCCATTTCGAGTCTGCTGATTGAGAACTTCAACATGTGTTGCTGGCAGCTCTTTATTTCCTGGGGCGTTCATTGTTACTGGTTGTTTGTGAACAAGTTTGGTGGTGTACAGACGGCCTTCCAAAACGTTTCCAATTGTGGATTTACAAACAATTGTGTTGAAGTTTAGCCCGATTCTCTGTTCGACCTGTTTAAGTGCTATTTTACAATTTTCTTCTAGTCAGTTTAGAATTTCATCTATCTCATCTTCTGACAATATCTTTGGTTTAGTTCCTGAAAAATAGGGAGGGATGGTGAAAGGATTTTTTGACGGGAAATTTGATACCACTGAGTATACATAGATAATAGATATGGAAAAAAGATGTTAGGTAACAGTGTAGAATCATTGACTTTTTAACATTTTTTTATGTATGTACTCGTATATGAATGAAATTGAAACAACAGGGCTCTTACCTCCTTTTTTCATCATCTTCACTCTTCCCGATCTTATCCACTTATATGCCGTTTGATATCATAATCCCGTTGTATTTGCTAATTGCGTCTAGTCTCCACTATATTACCACACAAAACAATCCTTTCCCTGTCCTAAGAGTTGTTTTTTTTAATTGATTTTCCTTTCTATATTTTTTGCCTCGTCCACTCCACTCCGATATAATGGACACAATACATCTGCTTCATTTTTTTAATAATAATAATAATAATAATAATATGCATTTATTGGCAAATGGAGTTCACAAACTAACAAAATTAATAAACGAATCAACGAACCCCAAAAATGGAGAATTACATTACAAATATCAAAATTAATAAATCCATTACAAAATTAATATGTCCAAAACCCAAAAAGACTGCATCGCCTAAAAATCTAATCATCGACGTTCTTCCTACATCCTCATTCAAGTTTTCAAAACAAACTCTATGGAAAAAATGCCCACACGGAGTTAGTTTTGCGGTTTTTCCACAACCTTTCTCAACATTGAACTCCTGCATATTGCACAATTATCGCTAAAGTTCATTTTGAATTTATAATTCAATAAAGATCGTTTGTGACTTGAAAGCTTGTAAACAAACTGCTGCAAACACACTTGATTTTTTCTTATTTTTCTTGCAAATACTTCTATGTAAACTATAAATGAAATTCTTTAATCCAAATGATACTTTTTAAAATAGAAATGAGCAATTTGAAACTATAATTAACATTTTCTAATATTCAATCGATAATTTTAAACCCCAAATGATGCTTTTGAATATTGAATTGATTATTAACGAGCTCCTAGCGAGTTTATAATTTTGCGGTGTGTCCGTCTGTCCGTCCGTTAGCACGATAACTCATAAACGAATGGACCGATTACGATGAAATTTTCCAGGTGGATTCTTTATCAAATTTGTAGATCGGAGTTCGTGAATTATGTAGCCCAAAAAATAAGGAAGACCCTTTTGACATCTCCGTGAGTTATAAACCGAATTGCATGAAGTATAGCTTTAGCCATATAAAACGCAATTCCAAAAATTGAGCCTAATCGATCAACATTCACAGTACCCTTTTCGCATCTCGACCATTTACAAACCGGATTGAAAACTTTCTTATTTATGACGGTATTTAATAAGCAATAAAAGCATATATAACGTCAGGTTCAAAATTTTGTTTTGCGCATGCGCAGTGCCAACTTTCTTATTTATGGAGGGATTTAAAGGAAATTTGATACATAACCACTTGGAATAGAAGCAAATGTAGCACCATTTTCCAAATTTGGTTTTATGCAGGATGTGCAGTGCCCACTTTCTTATTTATGCAAGCAATTAAATGAAATTTCATACATTTTAAATAAAAGCAAAACTAACATCAGGTTTAAAATTCGGAGCTCGTTTTCTATATTTTTTATATTTTATATATTTCTATAGAACTGGAATTTCAATTACTAGTAGATACTAGGTCTAGTAGGTATGTCTGCAGTTTCGTATCAATTACACAAAGAAGTTTTCTTTACGTTTGCGCTTATCGAAACCGATAAGTCATTGTGTCACACACAATACGACCATTGGGATACCTTAAGATAAAAGTTGGACTTTTTAGCCCTTTTCCACAAAAATTTAAAAAAAATGCGCTATTGTGGCCGGTTTGTCCGTCCATCCGTCCGTCCGCTCGTTCATTAAGACGATACTATACTTTATCTTAAAATCTTTTTCGCTATTTGGTGTCGAGGCTTGCACCAAGGAAGAAATTTTTTCTGCGTTTATTGCTAAAAAAGTAAAGTAAAAAAATCAAAAAACCGTTTCTTACAAGTTCCATAATTTTACACTTTTGCCGTTTATTAACGATCCTAGAGATCGTTTATAATTTTGTATTGCTGTCTGTTGGTCTGTCCGTCTGTTCCTTTGTCCGCCCCTCTATCTGTCCGTGTGAACGAAAACTTTGTTTAGGAATGTCCGATCGCTTTGACATCTCCGTTAGTTATGAACTGAATTGCATGAAATTCAATATGGGCATTATTTAGCCATATAATACGCAATGTCAAAAGTTGAGTCGAATCAAAATTCAGTGTCCTTTTCGCATCTCTACCATTTATAAACCGAATTGCAAACTTTTTTATTGATAAAAAACAGTATTTGAATGAAATTTGATACATAGCCACTTGGAACAAAGGAAAATCTAACGTTAGTTTCAAAATTTCGGTTTGCGCATGCGCAGTTCCAACTTTCTTATTTAGAAAAGCATTGAAATGAGATCCTTCTTATAAATTGAAATTGAAGTAGCACGTCAAAAATGGATTGCACATGTGCAACGCTATCTTTCATATTTGTGGCCGGATTTTTACGATTTTAACAGAAGTTGCATCTTACACATGGGAAATGAATGCAAGTGGAAATGCGCTTTTTGTAAATCGTTTACGATTACTTTTTAACTTGTTTGTTTTTGAAGATGGTAGCTGTCTTATTTTAGGCAGAGATTTTTTGTATTTTTATAATCTGAATATTATTTGCGATAAGAATGCGAACGTAAACTTTGTTAATGCATATTTGTAACAAATATTTTCCAAATGTGCACCAGGTCTGGGTAAATTTAATAAAGGGGTGTTCACGTTACCATTAAAAGAGACCACTGTAACACCAAAGTTTCACAAATCTACACCACTGTC